CCCAGCTCCCTCAAATCTCACCCAGGACCCCCAAACCTCCCCCCCTCCCCAGCCCCACCTGCTCCGCTGGCCATGGGGGGGAATGGGGTCCCACAGGTCCCTCTGGGGGTGGGATCAGGACCCCCCCAGGACCCCCAAACCCCTCCCCAGCCCCACCTGCGCCGCTGCGGACGGTGGCCATGGGGGGGATGGGGTCCCACAGGTCCCTCTCGGGGTGGTAGCGCTCGGCCGAGCTCAGCCGGGCGCTGCCGTCGAAGCCGCCCACGGCGTACAGGAGCCGGTTCAGCACCGCTACGCCCACCCCGATGCGCCGAGTCCCCATGGGCGCCACCAGAGCCCACTCGTCCCGCTCGGGCTCGTACCTGGGTGGGGGGAAAAGGGCTCAGAGAGACGGGGACCACCCAGAGGGGAGCAAACCCCTCGGTGAGACCCCCCCCCCGGGATTACCCAAAGGAGTTCAGCCCCTCCTTTAATTGAATATCCCGCATGTGGCTCCTCCCCCTTTTTACGCCCCCAGCCCCATTTAACCCCATAGCCCCGCTCCAGACCCACCTCTCCACGGAGCGGTGGTGGGTGCACCCATGGGACACCCCCAGCCCCATTTCACCCCCCCAGCCCCATTTCACCCCTAGTCCCATACCCCAGACCCACCTCTCCACGGAGCAGTGGTGGGTGCACCCATGGGACCCTCCCACGGCGTAGATGAGCCCGTCGATCACTCCCACCCCGATCCTGTTCCTGGGCACGCTCATGGGGGCGCAGGGCGACCACCTGCCGCTGACGGGGTTGTAACAATCCACGGCCGCCGAGTCCGTGTTGCCCTCGGGCGAGTTGTTCCTGCCCCCCACGGCGTAGAACAAGCCCCCGACAGCGCAGCCCCCCAGGCCGGAGCGCGGCGTCTCCATCTCGGCCAACCTCACCCACGAGCCCTGCACGGGATCGAACGCCTCCAACGTGCTCAGCGACCTCCTCAGGTAACCCCCGGCCGCGTAAATCAACTGCCTCACATTGGGGGTCCTACCCGGCGGGTCCCCGGAGGGTTTATGAAGGGCTAAATCGCGAAAAACCCTGGCCAGGTAACGCAGGGCGTCTCTGCCCAGGTCGCGGCGGCGGCGGAGTTGGGCGCGCAGGAAGCGCGGCGTGAGCGCGTGGCAGCGCACGGCGCGGAGCAGCGCCGGTAAAAACGGAGCTCGGGCCGCCCGGTCCTGCTGAACCCACGCCACGCACGCCTGGAACACCTCGGATTCGCAGCGTACGTTGAGCTCGTCACGGCTCAGCAGAGTGGCCAGCTGGCAGTGGGATAAGGAGAGGAATTCTTCTTGCCTGGAGACCTGAGGAGGGGAAAAAATGGGGATAAAAGGTGAGGGGAATGTCAAAAATCAGCTCAAAATGACATCCCTGCAGCGGGACAGAGACAGGAATTCTTGTCTGGAGACCTGAGGGGGGATAAAGGTGAAGGGAATGTTAAAAAAATCAAAAATCAGCTCAAAATGACATCCTGGTAGTGGGATAGGGAGAGGAATTCTTCTTGTCTGGAGACCTGAGGAAGGGGGAAAAAAAGGGGTAAAAGGTGAAGGAAATGTTAAAAATCAGCTCAAAATTCAACATCCCTGCAGTGGGACAGGGACAGGAAATTCGTCCTGCTTGGAGACCTGCGAGGAAAAGACTCAAAAAAAGGCCAAAAATCAGCTCAAAATTCAACATCCCAACAGCAGCCGGGAGCGGGATGGGAACAGAGACTCCTCGTGTGCACGGCCTGAGGCTGCTCAGGTGCTCGGTGGGGTCTCTCCATGGTGTCCCCACATTCCCAGACCCCCCAAATCCCCCCAAATCCCCCCCAGACCCCTCCCTCACCTCAGCGAAGTTCATGTAGATGTACTCGCGGGCCTTTTCCTGCAGCTCCAGGCAGCCCAGGCGCTCGGCCAGCGCCGCGATGCCGATGGCGTTGCTGGGGTGCAGTTGCCCCCCAAGAAAAGCGCAGCACGCCCTGACCACGGCGTCCACCTGGTACATGAGGGCCCCGTGGAGGAGCTGCAGAACGCAGCGCTCGCCCACGGCCACGGCCGCCGTGTAGGCGAACTCCACCAGGCGCTCCATCGCCCGCGGGTGCACGCCCTCGATGGGCACCTCGGCCAGCGCGCGTTCCCGCAGGCCGGCCGTGAACATGGCTCGGAAAACGGGGCTGGCGGCCGCCAACACCACGCGGTGAGCCCGCAGCTCCGTGCCCAGCGAGCCGTGGCGCACCCGCAGGGTGACATCGCAAAGTTGGCCCTGTAGCCTCAGTTCGTTCATGGTGGCCAGAGCGGCCGCTGGGTGCTCGGACAGCGTGAAACGAGACGGGGCGGCCGAGGAGGAACCCGGCGAGGGAGTGACCTCGGCTGGACACAGCGGCGGGGGCGGCGGGGACGGGCAGGACATGGTGGGAGAGGGGATGGAGCAGTCCTGGGGCGGGATGGAGAGGCTGTGGGGGAGAAAAAAGGGGAGAAAATTGAGTTGGAATGGGGGAAATGGGGTTAGAACAGGGGAAACTGAGGCAGGGAGGGGGACAGGATCTCCCTGGAATGAGATTTGGGGTGATGGAGAGGCTGTGGGGGAGAAAAAATGGGAGAAAATTGAGTTAGAATGGGGAAAACCGAGGTAGAGTTGTGTGGTAGGGGGTCAGGAATGGGATTTGGGGGGATGGAGAGGCTGTGGAGGAGATAAAAGGGGAAAAAATGGGGTTAGAATGGGGGAAATGGGGTTAGAACAGAGGAAACTGAGGCACGGAGGGTGGGGAAGGGGATACAGCCCCACAGGGACATTTTTGGGGAGGGGTCCGGGGATCTCACGGGTCCCTGTCGGTGTCGAGGGGGGGTCGGGGGTTTATTGGGCGTTTATTTTGGGGGT